GACTAACGCATTTTTTTAATTTTTTTAATTCCATTCTTATGCGATTAAAATGGAAGCAAGGGGCAATGGGCCTGTGCCTTGCAGAAATTAATCAACGGGATCAGAAGTTAAGACGGCTAAGGAAAAGCTTAAGTGGGAATAATTACGCCCTGGGATTAATTGGCAATTAGTTTAAAATAGAATAGAATAGGATTAATAGACAAGCGGATTATTCTATTAGGGTCCTGATGCCAGCATCCTATCGGTTCTAGAATTATTTAGTAAATGGGGCATAAGAACGATACGTTGAAGTGATTTAAGCTCCACAACCAGTAATTTTTCCTCTCGCGTCACAACCAGCTAGAAAGCGTCCTCTCTCGGCACAAGTAATGCCACTTGGAGTATGACTCATCTGCACTATGTCTCGCAGGGAGTAAACGAGCCTAGTCACCAATCCGAACATGACATGAAAAAGATACAAGAGTATTTTAAGCCAGCAACTTCCTAGTCTAGACTACCCAGAACATTCTCCGCCTCTCCGCTTGCACCCTGTGTCCCAATGTGGCCGAACAATGCTCTCGCACCGACGCCACACTACGCCACAGTTCGCTATCGTATTTTCCTTCCTACTCCGAATCCTCGCTTGTAACGTTTATTCTTCCATATAAGGTACTCGGTGACTCGAATTTTTGTTTCGCTCTACAAGGCGCGATAACGAGCACACATTTTCAGTGAACATTTAGATCACTAATATTTAATCAGAAAATTAAGTTTTCCTCACTAATAGATGTTTCGGGAAGTGGGCTTCTTACATTTTTGTATTGAGTGTAAAGTTTAAAATCTGCAAACAAACTGATAAAGTTCCAAAGGCTAGGTTGCTGGATGCATTTTGATATAAAATCCAATTAGTAATCACCCAATTATTTAAAATGAGTGACAAGATTATAAGCTGGTATTGCATAGCACAAAAACAACTTTCAAGCTCTTTAGTTAACTCTAGTAGAAAGCTCAAGATATCTGGATCAGATTCGTATGTCCACAGATAATAAGCAAAACGGCGATAATAAATGCCTAAAGCCGGACTCACTTTGGGTATCCCACTACCGATAAAGTAGCATTTTAGTGTGTAAGCGCGGCCCACAATAGCGGGTGGCATATTGGTGACTGGGCGCATTCGAAGTGGGGTGTCCATGAGGACCATGGTGCGACACTCGGCGCTTCCGTAAGAGTTGCTTGCAACGGCACGATACTCTCCGCCATACTCCCACATCAGATCTAAATTGGATAACTGGAAATAAAGGGGAGAATGGGAGAATGGATGAAGGAAGTGGTAGAAAAAGGGAAGAAAAGGAAGAGGAAGTACGAGAAGTGGAAGCAAATTTTACAAATATGTCCCAAGAGTTTTAAGAATGACATTGATCGCTATCAATGACATAGCCAAGTCACTCTTTATGAAATAAAGCCAGGAACACGTACTTATAAAAGTAGATGAATCTGTTTAATAAGCAAAACAGTCTTCCAAGTGTCCACTGATTACCATCGCAGCTACGAGAAATGTCATAGACAAACTACTCTCTCAGAAGGACCAAAAGGTCTCCACAGAGTCTCACATTAGCTTGTTTATATTCGAGGGTAAATGTGATGCTATAATGGACCGAATCCAATGTTCCACGCAGCTGGTCAACCATCGTCCTGACTACAGATATGTAGTGGAATTCTGTAGTAGAGTCGATATTAGATAAGAGTGAGTGACTGAGGGCTATTTCTCAGCATAAGGCATGTGCAAGAACCTGCCTATCTCAATGATACTGAGTAAGTGGCAAATTATTTGTTAAGAAATTGACTGTAGTAACATTATCCATTGACATTGTACACAAAATTATGGTCTGCAATATGAGGGTGAGCAGTTTATCCTACTTGAAAATTAGTGGATAAAGAGCGCTAAGTTGTTATTCACATACAGTCGCTCATTCTGCTAGATGAGGACGAAACCGACCAAGAATTCGTTAGTCTGTGTTTTTTGTTACATTCTTGATTGAATTTCTTTGTCACTGCTCTACTCAGAAGAATATTACACGTAAAAAACTAATTACTCTTTGCCGAATTAATTAGCGAGAGACTACGAACTTCAGCATTGCAATTATCTTTCGTGGTTGCAAAAATAGCTGGTTTCCAATTGTAGTGTCTCTAAAGAAATACGCCTCAAGTGAAGGTAAAAGCTACAAGGGCTCAAAACAGAAGAAAGAGGAATACATTTTGTAATTCTTCAATGGGTGCAATTAAAATATAAAAAAGTTTCAAAATTTCTATTCATATCAAAAATAGAAAATCTTTTTATCCCATTTTTTATCTCAGCCGTAGCTGTACAAATATATGCTTTTTGCGAGGAAAATATGTCTAAAATAGACGCCCCTCCTATTGATGTCCAAATTTATGGCAGTCTCTTGATAAATTTCCTCATTTGACGTTTCTGTGATAAATGCCAGTGTGTAGATAGAGAAAAAAAATGTCTAAGCAAGGGTCTATTGCGATTAGAGAAGGTCTAATAGAATACAAAAACTGAAGTAGCCATAACAAGACACATACTTAATGTAAATATTATTAACCCTTCTAATAGGCCAATCAGAGCCTCCTGATATTGAACAAAAACAACTAAAATCCGAGGTAAGTATTGAGAAGAGAGTGGTTTCAAGTGAAGCTCAAATCCTTACGAAACCATGGTTAAGTGTACCTCTTAAAAAGCAGATACTCAATGAGTAAATCACCTTTCTAAGATTCATCATGAGCCGCGTGACAGTTATGTAAAGTCGTTCAGGATCCTGGCCCTCTGATGGAGACAGTACACCCTCTACAGATAAAGGCAATTTGACGTCATCCAAATACCACTGAATCTGGGGTCGTGGGTTGGCGGCGAACCAGCATTCGAGATAGGCTTCGAGGTCACCAAAAATATGGCGGCCCGAAGAGTAGAGACCACGCACCGTGGTCTCCCCAGCAGGCAAGGAAATAGGGGCATCAAGAGATGAGGGTTGCAGTGACGAGTAGGAGGAAGAGGGGAAGGAAGATGAAGAGGAAGAGGAAGAGGAGGATGGTGAAGCCAATGAAGATGGAGAGGAGGAAGAAGATGGTGAGAAGGAGAAAGACGATGGCTGATGGTCGGGACCCAGAGAGTTTCCTGACTGGAGGGAGGATGGAAGTGCTCCAGACCATGACAGAGTAAGAGGAGATGATGATAGAAAAACCTGCGCAATTGATGAATCTGGCTCTGCTCGAGGGTATTGCTGCATAAGACGCGGTTCCATAACTGAGGAATTCGATAAGAGAATATTTAGGAGGGATAAAGGCGGTAGTGACAGTATATAAATAATAAAATTCCCAAAGTGGACAAGGAAGTGAAGAATAGCAAAACAAGGCTAGTAGAATAGATATCATTGAAGAGACATACAACGATAAAAACTTTTATCTAAGAAAAATTAATTTTAAAGGATCAATAACATAGTTAGTGCTAGTCACAAATGATCATCAGCTTGATCGAGTTTGAAATGTAATCTCGAATAAAGGTCTCAAGCTTTGAGTCACTGATACAAGTTCTTTTTTGGATGTCGTTAATGTGGCCTTGTTCTTAAGAACTTTGAAAACCGAAACAAACTATAGAGGTGCATATTAAGGCGAATCCTGAACATGGCCCGTATTTTATTATAAAAATTTCATCTTCTTGGTCTAATCCTGGAACATTGAGTTTAATTTCATGATGATACGAGTGGGAGGAATTACAACATTTTGATCGGAGTTCGTAAAATATCCGCGCTCACTTTCGTCAAACAAGTCTTGCATAAAAATATATAACTTGAATAATTCAATATAGAATTTCATTCCGAATGAAAGACAGAAGACAGAATCCCTTTGGACTGCTCTCACTTGGTTTAACTGAGACGTTCAGGTTGACGCGGCCATTGGGTAAGGTGAAAACGTGATAAGCTTTCACCTGTCATATAAAATATCACCAGGGCGTCATTACAATCGAGAATATATGATGAGTTAATAGAACTATATGAGATGTATTCGCCCTATTTCGTTTAAGGTGATGAAGGACTGGTAGTCGACTTTTCCCACAATGATATGAGTAGAGCTGACGTTTCCATTGAACTTCATAGAGCCTTGTTTTCCCAAAAGTCGTTCTCATCCAGGCTGAAGTGGACTGCGGTTTCGACCTCGCATAGGTCTTATCGATACCCCCAGCGGGAGTCGAACGGTGACAGTGCCGAATGTGAGCTTGACACGTTACCCACTCGGCCACATTGCCACGAGTGCCCCCTGGGTCACAGGGCAGATGTGAATTTCAAGGAAGACCAGGCCTTATCTCATATCACATTCTTTGGTAGGATTGTCGACGAAGCAAACGTATTTTTGCTATAAAAATCGGCTACATTGCTTATTTTTCGTATATAAGTCACGGTTCGACTCCCGCAGGGGGTGTTGATAAGACGAAACTGCAGTCTACCCTGGTTCAAAACAACTTTGGGAAAAGCAAGGCTCTGTGCAATTCATTGGACACGTCAGCTCTATTGATATCATTGTTGGAAAATTCTACTACCAGTCCTTCATCACGCTAAACGAAATAGTGTGAATACATCTCATATAACTGATTTACTGGTAGTCTCGAAACTCTACTTATATGTGAAAAATTAATAAAACTAACCGGCTAGTCTCTCCTTTCTATATATACTCAACAAACAACTCAACTAATGGCAAATAGAGAAAGACTTGTTTATTGTCTTACGATATCTATCTATAGTAATGTATATATGTGCGCGTGTACGCGTATATGGATGCATGTACCAACAAACGAAGCCAAAGTGATAGCCCCGAGTAATCAGAACAGAGCAAACGCCTGTACTAAAGTCATCAAGGCTTGATGAACTTTTCTTTTTGATCCACTACGTTTAGGCAATTCCAGAAGCTGGTTCGGCTATATTGGTTAGCCTTCCGAACATAAGTGAAGAAAGTTTGACTTTAATTTAATCCATGGTCAAAAATATTAATAGAGTCATTTTGTTCTTGATGAAGGGTCTACCTCTTCTCTGCCTTAAAATCTATCAATCAAAAATAAATAGTTCTTGCTTTCATTTTTAACCTTCGAAAAGCTCCAAAATCTGATCCACACAGCGAACACTTGGATCACTTTATTTCATGTCCGGTTTCCGCCATATATTCTGCCATTTCTGACCTTAGATCCAACAGCCCCTACAAGCATTTTTGTGTTTTGACAACCTTCGGTGATAAAGACAATCGTCTTCGCTAACATAAGGGCCCCATTCAGATGTATGTACTATGAGAAAATAAAAGACCCAGTGTAACCCAAGTGTTTCGATTAAGTCAACCTTAACGTAAAAGCAAACTACAACAGACCAAGTGCGACTTGTGGTCGTTTTCTGATAAAACCGGCACGCACCCTTTTACTGGAAATAAAAGTCAAGTTAAAAATAATAGAACAGGAGACTCATTTAAGACCAGTTTCTCTTCAAAAACACATTGGAAGAATTCCTTCGAGAAGTATAGACAAACCTTTGTTAAAATGTAAAAGATATTTCAGTTGAGAAGGAAAATTTTTCTCATCTCGGTTTGCAAAAAGAATTTCAGCGAAATTTAGGGAAATTTCACTCTTTTATTTCCCTTTATTAATTTAGACACGAGCCGGCTGCTGGATGAAGCCGTTAAAGCGTTGATTTTATTGGATGATCAATCCTCAGAAGGTGAAGGGGCCCTAGATAACAAACGAGGCGTTACCTGAACCATATCAATGACTCACTCTGTGCAAGCAAGGCTTTAAAAATCCCAAGGGCGTTTTTTAAATCCCCCTCCTTTATAGTTAAAATTGATCCAACGACTCTTGATTAAATCACAATAAACTGTCTAAATCCGAAAAGAGGTCATCTTTATTGCCTGCTCTTGGAGTTGAGTATACCTAAGTGAATTGCAAAATTTGTTCAGGAAACGAGTCTTCTTATGTCGAAAAGAGATTTTCCGGTATTGGATATCCTGACTTTTGGCTATAAAGAATAAATGCAAAATATCTTGGACCTTTTTTCGTAGTTTTTTTTATTGCAATCCATATTACTTACTTTAGATGAGCTTACAATTTGATTGAGTTAACAACTATATCATTTTTAATAAATTATCAAAGAAAGATTTTTTGGAAGTAATTAATGAATCTAGAACTCTGAATGAGTAAAAATTAATAAACTCAATGTCTGGTGGCCAAAGTGAAATGATCTAAGAAAAGTGGCAAGAACTTATCCCTGCCACTGTTCATCCTTTAGCTTTAGTTTAACCTATTTTTTGTAACTTAGGCGTAGCGAAAGGAAGACCTTGCGAAACATACCTAGTCCTGCGTCCTATTCCATAGCATTCATGCTAACTTCCAGTTTCGGATCGTTGCTTTCGTACATTCGCAGATGTTTTGCCGGCCGTATAGTCGGCATCACCAGAAAGAGCTGCCATCCCTAGCACAGAGATGACATTTATCAAAATAACAAGTATTACGTTATTTTTGCAAATTGGAGCGAGATGGAGACGTGAAACTCGTCGTTTTGATTGTAACTCTTTGCTAAGGACGACTCCCATCCCTAATAACACCGACTAAGATGCAGACGAAAAGTCTGAGAATGTACCAAGTCAGCGGTCTGATGCTGTAAAGTATGATGAATACCATGGCAGAGGACGCAGGACTGGGTACGCTCTACAAGGTCTGTCTGTCGCCCCAGCAAGTTGGGAACAAGAGGTAAAGGGTAGTGCGACCGAACCTAGGGCCACACAACCTTGATATTCCTATTTAAAGCTAGCGTCTACTTTGAAACCTAGTCCTTGCATTTATTTATCAAGACTAACTTTCGAACTAAATGCTCAGACAGCCAAGACAGTATAGTTAAATCAGATTTTGGGATCTCGGATGCAAGTCCTGGATATGATGTTGAAATTCTTTCTCTTCCAGTAAGTGGAACTTGAACCTCTCTCATTCACTTTTCTGGTGTCCTTCTTTTATAAGGCATATCTTCTGCACATACGGACAGACCCTACAAGAACACTTAATTCTTCATGTTCTAAAGAGTTTCAGTCTTTAGGCAACCGATCCAAAGTATTGCCAAAAAGTCCATGAAAAAAGCTAGATAGAAAGGTAATTTCCGTGAAACTTCGTTGGATGTATATATTGTAATGGTTATCACTAGGACTAAATATGTGCGATTAATGTGTGCGATGATCAGACACACCTGAGACGGGAGTATGATTCTGCTTGGCCTGTTAACTACACATTCTTTGATAATTGTTTTTTGTGAAGAATGCTTTAAAGATATTCGTCACATGTCCTCCTAGAGCTTAGAACAATTTCGCCAAATACAAAGAATGGTGTCCCCAGAATTATTGCAATCTTAGTAGACAATCGACATGGCCCATCTTCATTTTTGCTTCTAGTGAGGTTAGTCAACAAATGTCTTCCTCACACGTGTCGAAAAGAGATTTAAATTATTTTGAAGTTATCATGTTACTCTCTTTTAATAATCGTTAATGTAAAAAACAGTTGGATTGTTTTTGTCTAGTCTTATTTGCGATGAGATAGATCTGGGACGACATTAGTGTCCCATTTATCTGACTACTGTGAAACACGAGCCATGGTGACTGCAGAACTTCTCACGACTACTTATTATACGGTAGCCCGAAGAGATCACCCTCTCCATTCCCGACCTTTTGAAATCTGTTTGCAGCGAAACCTATAAATACACATGACACTCTTCACGGAAGAGTGTCGAGACTCTTCTATAGCCAGATAAGATACGATAATTCCGAGCAACTGTAAAAGCATGCTCACGAGTGGGCAACTCTTCTTCGGTCTCCAAACTATCTTGGCAGCAAGATTTGCCTATTCCGCTTTGTGACCCTCATTCTATAGTAAGTGGCCCGCCCAGTCTGTGGGAAGTAAAGTAGTCGGTGGGTCACGTTTCAAGCTATGATGATCTTCCGTTTACCATCAAGTGTAGTATAAGCGTTTATAGTGGCTGTATCTTTTGAAAGTAATCTGTCTGTATCAAAATTAGTGTGGTTTAAATAGATGCCTGTGTACACAGCCACCAAGAGTCCCAAATGAGATCTGCTGCAACCAAGAAACCCCCCGCTTTAGAATGGGATCGACGGTCCAACTGCATCAGAACGGGTAAATGTATCCGGTCCTAATCCACGTGTGACTGGCGCTGCTGCCGGCGCAGTCTTCTGCTATGAAAGTGTGTTAGGGCCAAACCATTCTCAGCACCATGAGCTCAAAGATCCCTCCAAAGCTGGCAAGATGGACGAGAGTCTGTGCAGTGATTTGGACGGTCTAAGAACGAAAAAGACAAAATGACTGCTCACTGCATGTTTTGCAATAATTCCAGAGAGGAGTGGCTAGAATCAACCCAAACCTAAGAGTTTTTATGGCCTATTTTTGCATGAAGCACAGGAAAGCAGCAAGAAAAATATCCGATTATAGCGAAAGGACGCAACCACAAGGTAGATAGTGGAAGCCAGAGGAAAACGGCAAGATGGTAAAGTGGAAACCTACTGCCCATGACGAGGAGAGCCGAATCCTGGGCGTTGTCCATGAGGCTGTGTCCGCTAAGCGGCTCAAGAGCGGCGCCGAATCCATGAAACAAACTGATGGCCCGACGCGAACGCATCCTGGTGGTCAAGTCTCGACGAAGACGAGAGGCAGGTCCGGTGGACGAAGATGGGGGGGCAGAAGAGGTAGGGCCGGTGCCCGGAGGGCCTGGAGATAGGTCGTTATAGCTATTCTCTGCCACGCATTGGTAGACGCCAACGTCGTCCAGGCTAAAGGACTCAATGCGCAAGCGCATTTGGTTCAGGTTGACATTTTGGCCAGTCCGTCTGCTGTTGAGGGTAAGGTTGAGGCAAAAATTGACGAGCGCGAAGCAAACCAGGATGAATAAGTTAGGGTAATAATCAAAAAAGCCCATCTTTGCATAACTTTCTGAAGCTAATGGAGTAAAATAAACTATTCCCCCCAATAAAAAGCTAATACCTGTTCATTATAGTCAATTGCTTCAAGTGGTAGAGCAAAGTGACTCCAAAATGGTGGTGATTTGGGATTGAAATCTATCGCGAAAAAATATAATGCAGTTGCTCTTAAGGTAATGGCTGGACTTAAGCGTATAAAGATGTATGTATCCTGGAGATTCTAAATTGGGAACTGTTCCGCCAAAGTATTCAAAAGTCCACGGTCTCACGCTGGCAATTATGATAGCTACTGTAGCAGAGGACTTCGGACAATGCAAGTCCAACTAAATCGTGCTGACAACAAGACCAAGTTGTGAAAACGAGGTCAACCCACTACTATAATTTAGTAACTTGATTAAATCCTCGTAGAATGAAATACCAAATGAAAAATATATAGATAACACAAAGCCATCGCTCGTAAACGGCTTTCCAAGTATATCACAGGCATTGGATACCAGATCAGTAGGTTATATACTGACGTCTTTGCCTGACAATCAAGTAGGAACAAGTTTTGAGTCCTACCTGTCCATTCAGTCAACGATCGGCCGCTGAAAAATGGTCTGTGAATCATAATTAGCATCAAAACAACAAAGAAAAGAAGCCGTAACTCTTAGTGCAACAATCTAAATCGTTGGACAAATCGAGTTATCTGCACTAACCTCGATGATGAAAGTGGATTTGTCTGGTGCGCCTCGGGCAGATATCGCTTGGACACTGGTTGAGCGTTTCTAAGCCAATGCAACCGCGGCGACGGATTCCCGCTACCCCGGCATTCTAATTCGATTTGGCTCCCGTTGTTAACAATTGCGAACTTCGGGGTGACAACAATTCCAACAGGGGCTATGGAAAGAGTAAAGGCAAATGGCTGCATTTAGGGATGTGGTGTAATCCAGCAAACGATAGATTATTAGAAGTTGTTTGACCTTGTTCTCGCAACTTGGTCATATTGGCAGGAAGACTTAGAGGAATGCACCTAATCCAGAGTCCATTATCATTTCCAAAGGTCAAACAACCTCTATACAACGAAAGGAGACTGTGATCACACAAAATGCCACACCATCTTGGTCTTCATATCTTCAATTGATTATTAGATCTATTAAAATAAATTTTATGAACTTACATCTTTGTCAGGAATTTTTTTGAAATTATCGCTTGGCCTGAATGAACTTATAACTGATACCCCGACAATAAAAAAACATCACTTAATCCCGGTCGTAAGACGAGATTCCTTGATAGTCTTAGCAAAACTAATATGAGATCCCTGAATAGAATGTTTAGTGCAACCCTCATAGTTTTAAGTTCATCAGCTTCATGTGCATGAATGGAAATAGGTGAGCTAATCTTGATGGATCTTAAAATAATTATTCAAATTTTTGTAGAGACTTTTATTTCGTATGAAAGTGAAGGATGGAGAGATTCGTTTGTAGATCTTATCAAAAGACGGCAGCTGATTTGCAATATTCTTAAGCCGTTTGGCTTTAATACGACGTCCATAGGAAGTGTAAGTCTCCACAGTAATGTTATGACAAGAGATTTATCAAAACCCAACTATTCTTCGTATCTATAATCATTCAAAGTAAAAGTAAGCGATAGGTGCATGAGACCGACTAAAGAAAACAGAACAGAATAGACAAATAAATGAGATGACTCTATCCAGTTTGCAAAAACGCATTAAGGAACGGCAGCTATAGTGACCTAAGTTAAGAATTCTTCTTTCCATTTTCCATCTGATATAATATGCGCGAATATTTCAGTTGGCACTGTCAATGCGAATTTGATCCGAAGGAGCGATCGTATCTATTTTCTAAGTATCCTAATCAGAATGCATTATCTTTGTCCTTCTTGTCGATTCGCTAAAACACACTATACAGCATAGATTGGCCCTGAGAGGAAGAGCAAATGAGGGCAGGTCTAAAGAGCTGCCAGACTAAGAGGAGACAGGCAAATTATCATAACACAGTGTTAAGATAAATAGGTAAACAATTTATAGATTAAGAAATGAATACGATAAACAATTTATTTTGTGCTCAATCGTGCGAGAAATTAAGGATAAGTCAATATATAGGTCATAATGGCTTAAAATAGGAGCATAAATGGCTCAACTTTTTTGTCCTCTGAAATCTATCAGGTAAAAGAGATAGTCTAATGAGAAAATATTACTATTAGTCCTGCTGAGACGATTGTAAATTTCGGCAGCCATGGTGATCAGGCAGCAAGAAAGATTAAAATGAAAGATCTTGGTAACGGCACAATTTCAAAGTTAACCGTCAGACTCAGTGTTATTTTCCATTCAGAACAAGTGAAGAGTTGGCTTAGGAAAAGTGAATGTTGGTAAAGTGGTCAACTAGAACCAAAGAGCCATAAATTAATTCTAGTCAATTTGACAAATTACTTACTTGTTGGGCTTTATCATTTAAAGCGAAGTATTTAACTCCGATTGATTCTAATCTTATAGTCATGCATTTGAAATAATATATTTCGATTTACAATAAGAAAGAACGGTCATCAAAATTTTCATATACTCACCCTAATTGGAAGCACATGTATAGATCTCAAAGGGCAGATTCATAATTTTACCATACGAAACGGTTCATGCATCAAATAATTCAAGCCTAACCAGGTGGAGGGAAGTGGTGGACATCAGATGAAGAAGTTTCATGCGAGACAGGCTTTGGACAATCTTTCGAAAGTATTAAAATTTGGGTCATGCGCAGTTCGAAAACCTCAGGAAAATGAATCGCCAGGAAGAGGACCAAATCGTAGAGGAATAAATGCAAGTGAATGCGACTGAAGTGGGAGGAGTCTAATTAAGAGACCAGCTTTAACAAAGTTGGCAGATAAAGGTCGACCTGGGACACAAATATGAACAGTCAGAACCGTATAAAAAGATTAACATTGAGGATGCGACTTACACAGTCTAAACCAACTTAAAGTAGAGTTGTAGCGGAGGTTTGACATAATCCACTTCGGCTCGTAATACATTGGTCAGATGATGGTGATAGGATATGAAATCAATCCTGACAACCACTAACTCATGTGCGCATGGGGACCGAGAGAAATGGTCCCTAGGCCTGAAGCAAAGGTGGACAAATTAAGCGATTAAACTCCATACTAAAGAGTCCAAAGGAGGCCAGATCTAAGTGTCCGGAGGATGCAAGAGGTAGAGAGGAGTAGGAGAATATGATAACTGGATGATCGACGATCAAGAGGACTTAGAAAGAATGGCAATAGTGAGAATCCAGTTTTTGGAGAGCTGTCCCAGATTGAGCTAAGGCACACATTTTATCATACATTCAGAGCCGATTATAGGAATAAACCCTCGAATATGACGTATATGGTGGCCGAGAGTGGGGATTACAGCTAGCCAGTTGAATTGAATAAAACACGAAAGAAAATTTGATAAAATTTTGAATAAGTTATTTTCTGGATAAAAAATTAATTAGGATCAAGAAGCCCTGCAAGCAGGGTGTGAACCTGGCGGTAAAGGTGATTAGGCCTCAGTTAGCCTCTTTTTAAGGGCCAATTACTAGAAAGAATTTAGAACAAATGGCGAAACCGAACCTGGCCAATGTACAGTGAGATTAAGGGACGAGATGGCAAAATTAAAGCCCAGGACAAATGGTGGAGAAGAGATGCTAAAATCATCGAACAAAAAATTGTCCCTTATTAGTCACTGACTAGTTGCAACTCGGTGCTAAGGAAAGATCTTCTCAGTGACGATGTCGACCACGATCTGGATAAACGTTTGTAGAAGTAACAAGTCATGAGTATTATGGCATGAGACTGGGCAAGTTCCACAAAATTGCGAAAACGAGATCATACCAACTAATATAAATAAAAGAGACTGAGACCAAACATAAAGTTAAATCTAATCTAATCTTATTCTCCAACTCTACGAGTTAATAGCCTGCTTTAGTGGTTTCAATGAAAATCAACACATATAGGATGATAAAATCTCGCCAGAAATAGATCACGTGTCATTTAACTAAATATTTAATTTTTTTATGAAGTAAGATGCAAGAAACATGCCGATAAGAATTCTCAAAATAAAAGACCATTTTGCAATTATCAACATTGATTCCAAAAACCAGTCATCAAATAGAGGGCCAAGTTTGTTGCATAAATGAAGGGCAACTGGGCTTCTGTGACTCGCCCGAGATACCATTGTAGTGGAGAATTCATTTCGTGTGAGAGTGTATGGTGACGAGATGGATAGATCGATCTTATCAGAAGAGGACAGCCGATTGTTGTTGGCCTGAATTCATTTGATATAACCATGGCGTTCAGGTTGGTGCAGTCTAGCAGACATTTTGAACTGAAGTTCCGTATGCCAATTGGCAGGCGTCGTCAGAGGTTGATCTCACTCTCACAAAAACTTCAAGCTGGCATTAAGTTAGCCCCTTCCTTTCAAGCTATATATGCTCACGACAAAAAAAAATAACTGAATAAAATAATATAAAGAATGGTTAGTTCCGCTTTAACAGGGTTATACTGTCTAGAAGAAACAAACAACACTCTTCTCATAGAACAAATCTCTAACGGTACTCGAAAGGGTGGAGAGCCAGATGTACATGATCACTCACATAGCACGTTTATCTTGTACCAGACCGAGACATGCTTATTGTCGCGCCGCGGTTCGACTGGCTCGGCAATGTAATAGCCAGAATCATCCGTGTCTAGGCCCGTCAGACGAAGGTTGCCTCCACCACCAGATTGTGGACCGTCGAGAAGCTGATATTTGTGCTCCCTTGTGGCCAACGAGGGTAGCAGCTGAGGAGAAGCGCCATGTCCGGTCAATGGTAATGTCAATGGTAGCCGATTCTGTCTTGGCACTGCCAGATCTGTAGTGCAGTACCAGTTGACTGCTACCGACTGATTGGTCTCGATCGCCCAGGGGAGCTCAACGGTAGCGCCCTGATGATAGTGTGGAAGGGAGATATCAAGGCAAGGAAAGACGATTAATTAGTGTGAGCCAGTCATGAAAATGATAATGTCCATTATGATGAAAAAAAATATTTGTAAGGATGCTATTATTAAAGCCCAATATATCAAGCAACAGCAATAAGGCCCATATACTTGGTTATGCTGCGCATAGCTATTTTCGTCAATTATGGACTTCCTAAATCGCAGAGTTCTTACAGCAAGCAAGATCCTGAGGCAAAGAAGTTGTGAAGTGAATAGTAAATAATGATAATGCCCAATAAAATAGTCCTTCGACATTCTAGCAATTGAAGGCACGATAATTCGAAGGTAATTTAGCTATTAGAGCGATAGTCATTGTAGGATCTTACGATTTAGCCATTCATAATAAAATAAAGTTAATGTCTTATTTTGAAAGTAGATCTCATTATACCATGTTTAAATAAAGGTATTTGGTACCGGCCAATCTAGAATGTAGTTTTTACTTCCCTTTAATTCCCACAATTGGGGCCAAAGTAGGGATGGGAGCATAAAGTTGCGGCCGTCGTCGAAAATGCCACACGGAAAAATGGTTTCATTCAAAAATTGTAGAGTTGATGAGTATCAGAGTGGATAAAACTA